TTAAGCGCGAATCACTCAGACCCCATGAGCCAACATTTGCCGCTAGAGTCTCAGAAAGGAGGTAGATTTAGGCAATAAATAACGGCACACAATCATGGATGTCTGCAACACAAGCTGCACTGAAGAGCTGGCCAGGTTCATGGGCCCAATTAACCACCTACTTGAGTGAATGTTAAGAGCTGCATTATCTCCTGCAGGCACCGGCTGAGGCTGGACATGAGCACAATCCATCTCCCACCTCCTACGCACAGCTGATTTCCACAAAGATGAAATAAAACTTGCTTCTGTAAGTAGGGATGAAAAGAATCCTTAGAGCTGAGACGCTTCACTAATTAAAATAGCTCTCTCTAAGGTCAGCAAGTTAAAAAAAAAAAAAAAAAGCAAGTGCTACTCTGTCACAAGTCTATTAGCTTTTGCAAAGGGAGACAAGAGACATACAAGTAATGCATGCCTTCAAATCTCTTGCTGAATCTCCTTTAATCCCCTGCATTCTGCCTATCAGAGCAATCACACTGGGCTGGGGATCGGATTCCAATTGGTAAATAGCAACAGGAAAATCTTTAAACCTCTTTTTGATCCAGATGTAAGTCATACAGCATCTGCATCTCACAGACCAGCCCCCAATTCTCCCAAGACTACCTGCTGCAAACTGCAGATACCACACTCAGAGGCACCAGGACTGTGTGATACAGGAAGTAGTCTAACTCCTGGAAAATGCACTGACTCTCAGCTCCCATAACTTATTAATAAGTTATTATTATTCATTTTTGAGATTCTGCCAATTTGTATTATACAGGCAGTCAGGCAAGATGATCATACTGGTCCGTGGCCGCTTTAGCTTGTGAATGAGTCACTAAACATAAGCCACGCTGACTTCCACAAGGTGAAGAATCTGGGAGAGGTGGTTTTAATCTTCAGGCGTAACCATATGCACTGACACAAAAAAAATGTGACTTTGTGTAACTCTCTCCTCAAAGATTATATGAATGCAAGGCCCACAACACCCAGTCTCCAGGCTGCTAGATTTTGCAGCACTCATTAGGCTTCTCACAAGTAAATCAAAGGAAAGAAGGGAAAATAGCTTTGTATACTGCATTTCCTCCTCTTTTGCTGAGTGGGAGAGGCAGGGTTTGCAGAATTCCCTTCTTATGCTAGCAGTAGATCTCCAGAGAACAGGTACAGCCTGTTCCAGAAACATTTCGGTTAGAAGGAGGTCTGAGACAAGGGAAGTGAGGAATATTTAGCTTCTACCCAATGTATGCTCCAGTTATTCTCTGATAACCACATACACACAGCTTTTACAGCGCAGAGTAGATGTGCTCACACCCCATACTCCAGAAAGGGTTCTGACAGTCTCTCCCAAATCATTGCACTTTTGAGTTTTCTCAGGACTGAGACCAGGCGAATACTTAACAAAAAAAAACCACTCCTGCACTGTAATTACATGAAGGTATTTCTTATCACGATCTAGACTTTTCTTTTAGATCCCACTTTGAAAGCATGATATGACTACAACGGAGTATAATGTAACATTGGCACACCTTATATTTTATACACATATGTAATAATGTAATATCTCTATCCCAACCCATTATTGCATCCCAGATACTTTCTTGCAAGATCCAAAATAAAAAAATCTAATAATATCCAAAGGCCATAAAGAAATCAGAGAGGCCTGTGGGCATGCGGGCACGTGGGAATTTATGTGCATACAGCAACTCACATTAACACTGATGAAAGGTAAAGCACATCCATCTTTTGTGCACCCACACGAGAACACTATGAACCAAATTCTTTCCTGACTTATAGCCAGTATTGCTGCAGATGACATAAGGCTGCAGAAGATATAGACTGGAGAAGAATCTGAACCTCTGGTTACTAACTTATTTAATCCTTTTGAATCTGCTCTGCTACCACCACCAAAACCAGTCTGACCTCATTCCACCAATGTCCAGAGGATGAGATGGAAATCGAGAACATATTTTATTTTTTGGTAATATTTTTGCAAAGCAGGGGACTCTGAACAACCAGACTTTAGAATGAATTGGACAAAATGGATTGTTCACCCTTTCCCCAAGGCCCCACGCCAAGTATATACACAGCAACAACAGATAAGGGTTATAGCTGGGATTTAGGAGGTAGCAGCACCATTAATAGGAACATTTCACAGGATAAAGGTTTTCCTCTTCCTGCTTCACCTGTTTCTTAATTCTAATAAATTTAAAGCCTCGGCACGGCCCAGTGCCACATAGGCCAATGTTCTTTGCAATACATAGTTGAAAAGCAGAGTAAATTAGTAAACTGCAGAGCTTGCTCCTGATACTGCTGTAGCCAAACTTGTTTTGACACGACCTACCCTTGTACTTTGTAATAGTGTTGATTTATGCTATGAAAGTTTCCAGTGAAATATATTACAGTCCAAGTACGCTTTCACTTTCAGCCAGAGGAACCTCTCTCTTCTTCAGAGCCTGTCTCCTAGAAAGTCTTTAAAAATAAAAGTCATTGTATTGCCAGTTGTGACTGGCCTTTAAGAAGTTATACCCCCAGCACAGACTGAACCCTGTCATTTGCACAGCTCTTTTCAGGTCTTTCAGAGACAAAACTGAGCAGCTTTAACAGTGTAACTCCACTAAAAGAGCTTATTGGAGCAATCTAGTTCATACTTCAAATGCTTTTGGTCTCACTACCCCAACCATCTGCTCTCTGGTCACAACAGTTCTGCACCCTGCTGGGATCTGCCTTCACAGCCGGGTCACCAGGAGCTTCTCTACAGAGGGACGCACCAGCCAGCCTCTCTGGGGAAGATCTGCCAGGGAAGCACAGGTCAGCAAGAAGCAGGACCACTAGTCTGCCTTAAAATTGAGATTCCCAGCGCTGATACGGATCTGCTGTGTGAAACTAGCAAGCCCCTCCCTCCCCCACTCAATGCCTCAGTTTCCACTGCTCTAAATTCTGTTTAGAGACACTTATTTTCCCTGTAGAGTATGAGTACAGATTATGGTGCAGGAATAATATACCACTGTTTCCAAATAGGAAAGATCTAAGTTTGATACATGTGATACCAGATGCATCTTTTACTTCACATTACATTTCACTGTTCAAAACCTCTCTTGCTAGTTGGCTTTGGACAGCTAGAGAAAGCACATGCATTTACAAGGACAAAGGTAAGCAAAGCACATATAAAATACATGCAAGTGGAGGAAATACAAAATCAAATTATATCCGTCATGAACAAGCTGAGAAACTAGCCACAGACAAGCTGCCAAATATCCTGACGTAACTGGAGAAATATCTTAGTTGATCCTGGCACCTACTTATGTATTGGAGCTTATATAAATATATCATAAAAGCCCTGGGCATCTGCGGTACTACTGTAGTTGCACAATCAGAAATGAACTCAACCTAAGAGTCTTGTTTTGTATATGATTTGATTTTCTATTCCCGAGTTAGACAGGGAAGGACGGTAATGCTAGATCAAGTTGTCTGTGAATTACACATAACCTAAGGCAATACAAATCTATAGGCAACTACAAACTCTCTGATGTTAATGGAAAGCAAGCACAGTCTTAAGTGGACTCTAGCTCAGACATACGGCCACATAAGTTTTATTCATTCTGTGGGTTTAACCTCATCCCCCAGATGGTATTCCTTCCTACTAGAAGTCAACATTTCTTGGATTTTGCATGTCCATTGCCATTTTGAAGTTGGCATACTTGGAATGAAGTCAGAAAAAAAAAATGCAATTTTAATGCCAGCTGAAGACCTCAAAATGTTTAGCTCCTGTGGCTTTAACTTTTCAAAATGATCTTTCAAACTTCTCAGCTAGTGTCTCTGCGCCAGAGTTTTTCTTTACTTTCTTGTATCAGTAGGGTGACAATGCTTTGAACACACACTTTACTCTAAAAGAAGAGAGAAACTGTCTTGTCAGAAAGCCAAACCCATCCTATAACGACAACAGTAATTAAGGTGCTAAATCAGTAATTAAAGAGTTACCAAGCACAAACATCCAACTGCCATTACTACTACATCTATACTATATATAGCATAGTATTACTATGCTATATATTATCTACTGCTCCAGTCTTTGGAAAGAATAATATACTGAATTAACACCTAATAACTTACATTTTAAAATTCAGCAGGGTAAAAATAACTGATTTAAAATATGTCTTACTTTAGCCTTTAAAATACGCATAGTTGACTGAAGTCAGTGAAATACCCAACCTCAACACCAGCTGGACACAAAGTGGAAGATTGATCCTGAAATCACAACAAACGTTACACTGCTTTTGTTCCAGTGATCTTATGGAATCACAAAGGCTAACAACAATAAACTTGCTATTAATTAAGGCTAGCTGATGAAGAAACATCCCTTGAGATAATCTCTCCTAATTTTTGGCCTAGGCGTAAGCTATAGAAAACATACTGCAGACAGTAAAATCAGGGGAGATTTTTCTTTCTTTCTCAGTAGTTTTACCCCTTGAACTATCCTGAATAATTCCTTTCTGTGTGCTAACTATCAGTAAGCGGCTGTCACGCCAGCCACATGAGACTAAGTTGTATATTTGGCAAAACCTGTGAATGAAGTGTAAGGACAGTAAAAAAGCTCCACTTTCCCCCTCTCATCTCCTGCACCTGCTGCTTTGGAGTGGCACTACTAGTGATGGATGTGAACCTCACTGTGCTGGACACTGTACAAACACAGAACAAAAGTCTTTGCCCCCAAAGAGATTACAGCTGAAATCTAAGACATAAAAGAACTTCTGAATCCACAGAGGCACGAAAGGCTAGTTTTGTTCTGCCTGTGCTTTCACACAGGCAAGAGGCAAGCAGAGCTGGCTGGTAGTCTTTTAACTTTTTCAAGAACTAAAAATGGTCATAATTTTGCGTTAGATATCTAAGGCTGATCTTTGCTACAGTCCTGAAAAGCTGTATAATTCTCCCGCCTGTTGTTCTTCCTTATTGCTCAATCTTTCTCTCTCCTATACACATATCCTGCTTGAACGCGGAAGCTCCTGGGAACATGGCTGGTGATTTAGTTTTGCTTGCTGCTGTATCTCTTCTTTCTGCCTTCCAGCAATGTAAGTTCTGCGGGATTGTGTGGCTGGGCTTGGGGAAGTTTCCACTGACTCTGAAGTACTGGAATTATCATGTGCTAAACTGGCTGTTATGTAACTTTAATTTCTGAGAACTCCTAAGGTTTTTCTCACTGGAACATTATTTACCCTCTCTACAGTCTGAAAGGGCGTTGGCACAGTGGGACAGATTACTTTTCCCTATGGGAGACACTAATTTGTTTGCAATTTCTATTTTGTTTACTGAGTTTTTGGAACCGTACTATTGCGAGAGCTGGCAACTAGCTGTAAAGTTACCCAAAAGCCATGTTCTGTCTTGGTTTTGATTCTTATTTAGGTACCTGAATATTAGGCAACTGAAAACATCAAAAGTGAGAGTAAATTTGTCAAATCAAATACGTGAATGCTGGACTGAAAGTACTGTAAAAATTATTCCTCCCCCAAAATTGCACAGTATTAAGTACCTGAAAAGAAAAAAGAAAGCAAACCTGTAGAGCAGAAGTAACATGAACACATTCCACACACTGTCGTTATCATTAGACTTCTTTTAAGATTCTAAACAGATTTATTTTATCCCATACAGATATGTTGCTGAGAAACAAGAACATGTATTTTACCCATTTTATCAGGCTAGATGACTATGGAAAGAAGTGGGCAAGTTCGAGACATTGTTTTTGCCGTGTATCAGTCTAAAATCGTAGCATTTTTAATGCTTGCCATTATTTTCTTTGAGATATGCTGATTCATATGGTTGTGTTTACACCAGGAAACGGGATATATCTTGAAGGCAATCTTGCTATGCTAGCATGAGATTAAGAGTGAGTTGAAGATAATTGCTTTGCCCTTATTTCAAATACCTGCAGCACTGCCAGCTTACTTAATGTGGTGTGATTGTTTGTTTGTTTGTTCTTCTCTGGGCAGCAAACCCAGCTGCTGAAATAATGTTGCTACCTGGTGGAAGAAAAGCTTGAGAACGTCACCTCCCTGGGTTAAAAAAAAGCCAAACATATCAGAAGGCAAATTAAAAATGCCTAAAATTTAAGTTTCTAAATTGCATGTCTTTGGAGGGATGGAGTATGTAACTGGACCGTTTGGGGTTACCTGTATCTTAGGCTCTTTTTATATCTTCAGATTAGCTACAATGTGCCTACGTGATCTTCACAGAACGTTTCTATCTGGTAGCAGCACTTACCATCAGCTTCTGTGAAAGTTCAACTTGCCTGTCTTGATTTTTAATGGAGTAGAAGTGTTAAGGGTTAAAAAAAATCTAGACAGCTAGTACAGCCTGAAAATTCAAGGAATTGTACAGATATTGACACTAGAAAGGGAAGGGGGAAAATATATATGTTTGTCCTTCTGTTGGTTAATCCATATTAGTTAATCTTAGTTAAAATTACAGAAAAGACAAGATAGCCTGGGTTTTAACTTACACTGGCAGTCTGACATGAAGTCCCTACAGAGAAACCTTGGTAAGAATCTGATATGGTAATCTGATTTAAATCATCACAGCTTGTTTTACCTTCAGCACTCTATCTAGCTTGGGTAAACCAAGACAGATTAACCCATGTGAGTTCAAAACACCTTTTTCACCGAATGCTGTGAAACTGGTACCATAAGGAAGAGTTCTAACCAGTTCAATTCAGGGAAGCAGCCCGGAGTGTGATTGATTGCCTTGAGCAAAACACACTACAACATACAAAGCACAGCGCTCTGTTTACTCTTCTGTTTATTCTGCTGAGCCTCTGGTCCTGAGGTAGGAAGGCGCTAATGGGTGACACGACCTCCCCGACCTCCCTGAAGCAGTGCTGAAAGTCAGGTTTCACTTAACAATCATCAGAGGTACTGACAGACAAGACTTAGCATCTCAGCATCATGAGTTATTCAAAGAATCAGGTCAGTTAAAGATTACGCTGTGCTAGAAAATGCTCTAGGGTAGAAAGAAAGGGCAGAAACAATGCAGGAAGTGGCTCCAGTCATGAATCCAGTTTTAAGCAGCTAAGATTTGCTTGAGAGATTAGAGTGTTCTGTAGACTTATGGGAAAACAGAGGAATCCAGTAAACGAACAGCATGAATCCCCAGTCAGTGATGTAGGACAGAATCCAGTAGGGAGGACACCAGCACTCCTGTGTTTTGAAACATCTCTGAATTTGCACCTTTTAAAATCACTCTTAATAATCCCTGCATCCAGCAAGAAAATATTAAATAGCATCTGATTTTTTTTAAAAAAGGCTGTTAGGCAAAGTCATGCAAATTGACACACACCATCATACACTGCGATACAAAGACCACCTTTCTTATAGGCTTTTTAACACATACAGTGCTTGAGAGTAATGTTACTTGAAAGCCTGCTTTGTCCTGTATTTTCAAAGTAAAGACATTAACTCAGTAACCATAAATGCCACATGAAAATGAAAGTTTAACAAAAGCAAACAAAGGCAAGTCAAGCATACCTCGTAACTACCTAGGTCATGTAATTTAGCCTGCAAGACTTTTTAAAGCCTCTGTCACAGAAATGTTCCTGCTGCAATGCTTTCTGGAGTCCTCGCTGCAGCACCTCCAGTGGGTGGGGCAGTAGAGCTCTCCCATTGCTTTATTATTTACTTTAGTCCTTGTGAAGCCATAATCACAAAACTTAAATTCGGAGTTATAGCACTGCTTTCTATTCACTAGAAAGGAACTAGAAGTCAAGTCCTATACAGTTAACAGAAAATACAGTAATTATTCCTTTACTCAGCTCTTTGCAAGTCCTTGCTTGGCAACTGTCTTGTTCTGCCCACTAGGCTCACCTTTTCTTCTAAGGTGACAGACATAACTCTAGTTCTCCCATTACACAGTGCCCTGGCTTGGTTTCTGGTGGCATATAAAAGCCCACTCATCCCTAATTCAAGCAAAGTTCTCATCAATCACAGTGGAAAGCTACTTAAGAGGTTGATTTTACAATGACTGGCCTTACTATCAGCATAGCCTCGTTACAGATCTCTGTTTCTGCATACGGTTAACCAGATTGTCCCACTTGCAAATCTCTGGCCCTCAAACTAGAACCGTGCTGACCTAGCAGTACCGAGGGCAAACTGCATCACAGCCAAGGCCAGGGCTATTCCACGGCCTTAAGGATTTGCCTTGGTTAAATGTTCTGAACAAACTGAAACACAATCTGGCCCATCAATGCCCTTATCTTCTTACTTCCCCTAGTAAGTTTATTTTGCCCAGCATCCCTTCAAGGCTGTTTCAGCTGGTTCAGACGTGATGAGCTGCCTCAGCTTCCCGTAGTTCCTCAGTAGAAAAATCCTAGTCCCAGACCGGTGATAAGCATCATATGGCTCCGTGCGGCCAGAAAAGCAGTTATCCGTTGCTGGCAGGAAATGCTATCGCCATGAAATGCTAAGTAAGGCTCGCCTAGCACTTCTGACTGATAAGCCAGGCAGAATTTGCCAGCATGTCGCACTCGTCACAAAAAAAAAAGGGTAATTACGTGGATGGCAGAGGTCAAAAAACAAATGTTCACTTACATTTCCCAGGAAAACATTTCTTGAAAAGCATTCTTGTGCCTCCACGAGTTTCAGTCTCCCTAAAGCATGTTCCCTAAACCCTCCCCACTGCCATTCTTCCCTTCTGAAAACGCTGTAAGGCGTCAGATAATGGATGAATCGCCAGGCATAACAAGAGATGTGTGGGCAGGAGTGGAGGAGGTCTTCCTGGATGCAAATACAATGAAAGGTCCTGTAAACCTGCCTTAGAGTGAGATATCTGAGATGCTCTGACTAGTCTCTGGAGGGAGAGGTTAAGAGGTCACTTGAACACAGCCTGTAATTACCTATGTGGAGAGAAGACAGATGGGAAAATGCCTTTTTGGGAAAAGGCTTTGGCCACAAGGCTGAGACATGAAAGGTGCACAGGGCAGCACCACTAATATCTCTAGCTGTATTTTAATGCCACTGCTCTCTGAAGGGAGGACAGAAGCTATGCTCTGAGCTTGCACATTAGACTAGCCTTTTTAATGAACTCAGATGGTGCCTAGTTTCTGGGTCTGGATAAAGTTCAAGTAAACGGTAGACAGTGAGCTTCTCATGCAGGGTGGTTATGACACCGCCAGAAAAAGAACTCCAGGTACCCAGAGAGTTTTACAGTCTAACAGGGAGATGCCCAGTAGATCTTCTGCCTACTGAAAATTGCTATCCAAAGATTCAGCAGCTCTCTAACTTTTTTGTCCTTGTGAGCCTCTACTAAACTTTTAAATGCAGACTTCTGCAATGCCGATACCAGTAAAAACGAGGCACGCTATACCTATCAGAAGAGATCCTGGAAATAAAGCTCAGACAACACAGATTTTTTTTTTTTCCAAATAACTGATATTTAGTCACTTTGCAGTAGGTAATTTCTGTTGTTCACAGCACTGCACTAGATCTAAAAAATGCTTTGCAAGACAGGTTAAGTGTTATCAGGTCCAATCAGTGGCAGTGCAAACAGCCTGCGCTCTCTAATAGATCAGCTCTCCGCTCTCCAACAGGTGAGGTGGAGAGCAGGGAACAGACTACAAACTCCCTAGTTGCAGCTCTCTGTGCTCTTTCCAACACACAGAATTTTGAGAGTCCAAGATGGTCAAAACATATGGAAGAGTATGCACTGTAAGACATTGCTAAATACATTTAAAAAGGTGGCTACCAGATTTTTGTTTCCAGAGCATGTAACAACACCCCATACTCCAAAGCTCCACAGTTCTTGGTATCATTAAAATAAAACGATCATACACTATTTAAACAAGCAGGGTGGGTGACCTCCATCAGGGCAATTTGATTATTTTGATACTATCCCTGGTATAGCATCAAAACAGTTAGAGTGTGCTAGCATAGCACACTCTATTGTAGTGCAACTAGACTGCTCCTAGGCTGCGCAACTGTACGATTCAGACGAGGCAGAAGGATATTTAAGTTATAGCTAGTTTTAGCAAATGCTAAAAGATAACGCATATATTTCTGAAATAGTAATTTTTCCCCTTCCTCACAAGAAAGTCATGTTTGAAGTTAAGACCTGAACTTTTCAAGAGAAAACTAGTTTATCTAATACTGGCCTCTTTCCATTGTATGAAATGCAAAGAACAATGATTTTGATTTAAAAATGATTGACATTGTAAATGACTGATGTATGTTAAGGAATCAACTGAGTTGCTGGGTTGTGGGGTTTTTTGGTGGGTGTTTTTTTGTTTTTAGAAAAACTGTGTAATATGTGAGCCTTTATTTTTGTTTGCAGGCCATTTTGCTTGGCTGGTGGGAAAATCAAGAATGAAGCACAAGGTCATGCCCCCAGCTGTCACTGGAGCTCCAGAATTTGAGAGAACGTTTCGTGCACAGTAAGTCCTGAGATCATTACGATGGTGGCAACAAACAACATCTTTATTCACCTAATTCATGTGGCACTAGAGAATTCTGAGGTAAAATGAGGTCTAAAAAATTGTATTTATCTTCTGCTGTACGCTATGACACTACATCTTAGCTACCAGTGAACTCTCATCTGTACGTACCTCTGTGCAATTACACTCGCCACAACTCTGCTCTAACATGAAATGGTTGTGATCCAGGGCTAATCACCACCATTTGTGGAGCCATTGACTTGATTTGAGAAAGTAACTGCACCGAGTGTTGTACATGTAAGAATCCATTGCAATACATTTACAATACTTTTCAAATTTTGATTTTAGAAGGCTTACATTCAAATTTGTAATGTGTATCTACAAATTACGTAAGAAAATCTATGTACTTTTTCCTCAACTGAACACAATAACATGCTCAATCTTAATCAAGAATGTCCAGCTTCAAGAATCTTCTTCCCAACCTTCTAATATTTCTAACTTTTCTACACCTTTTTTAAAAAGAAGACTCAGTCCAGAAGATAAGTAAAAATCTTATCTTAAGGAGATTACCTTTTCTTTGTATCCTTTGCTCAAGAAATGACAAACAATGCAGTTACAGACACAGATCACTTTTCGAATGGTTCAGCTAGTCTTTTAACGATAATGGGATAAGCGTTAAAAGACAATAGCACAGAAAACCTCAGTCTGTCACCGTGGATAACTGTGGGGTAGCCTATCTAAGAAGATGGTGTTTTCCTAAAGGGCTCCAGCTAGTGATTAGCTAAAGCCCCTAAGCATAAAGTATTTATATTTAACATAGTATTGTTTAAAACATCCCATCTCCTGTAGCCATAGTTCTATTGGATAACAAAAAAAATTAGGCATAGGATATATTAGAAAAATTATATCAGACAGTAGAATATATTAGATACAGAAGGTTGCCTCATTTGTTAAAGAGAAATTCATTCTGAATGACAACCAAGAAAAGAGAGCCCAAGAAAATATTGGTGTGAAAACTGATGATGTCCACAAATATTGTCCTAACCATGAGAAGATCTATCATGTGCTGCTTATCCCTAAGAGCACTTCATAGAGGCATTGGCCCCAGCAGAGCAATCCAAACTGCCTACGCATGTCTCCATGCTTCCTCTTGCAGTTCTGGGAATGCTGACCCACAAAACTTGCATGCATGGAAATGAGTGATTAGCATTACATCCAGGGACGTGTTTGAATTTCTGCCTCTCTCTGCTGCACAAACACTTGATTTGCGGTTATCTGTTAAGCACTTCCATTTAGTTGGGATCCAGATCCTTGCCTAAGTTTAAATACCACAAACACGTTTGAAATAGTTAATGCTCATATTCGAAATTACAAAGAATGAGTTTTTAAGAGTGCCTGATCCTGGCCTGACTGTGCTCCCACTAGATTCAATGGCATTAATTTTAGAGGGAATAAAATGAGGCCAAAGCTGAACGTCCTTGAAAATCCTACCCACAATTCCTTTTCTTTCCACAATAATGTTCTTTCAAATTTATTCTGCAGACAAAACTGTGCGGAGTTTTATCCAATATTTCTGGCTGCCCTCTGGATTGCAGGATGTTTTTTTAATCAAGGTAAAAACTTTCTATTTTAACATGAAAAGGTTTTTTTGTTTTTTTGTTTTTATTTTTTATTTTTATATAGTTTGGCTGTAACAGGAGGTCAATTACTGTAGACATGTTTTTCTTCCTTTAACTTCATCACCTTTTTATCACTGAGTGCTCCTTTTGGAGGGCTCTACAAGAAGTCCCCACACAGTCATGGCATTTCACAAAGCCCCACTAGTTTTTATTTTTCTCTGCAAATTATGGAACCAGTGCATAGCCTATTTTTCATTCATTCAGTGGATTTCCAGGGTGAGTCACTCAGAAAGGCAGCTCCTAGATGTTTCCTGCTAACAATTATTTACACATTATAGGACAATTCTTGCAGGACATCAAGCACAGCTATTGTCCTTGGGGAGAAAGCAGCCTCAGAAGGCTCAGGTCAGAGCACTCCTCTCTGTAGCTGGACCCCTGGCTGAAGGAGATAGTGTTCAGGCCAGCAAACCTTTGGGATTTTACATACCAGATGAGTGACATCACCGCTGGGCTACGATTCATTCACCTGTTTTGGGGTCTAGCACAAGCTAGTACCGAGAGTTCAAGCTCAGCCAAAACAGCAGCATCTCCAGATGTAGGTAGTTACTATACTTAAGGTACGCATGGAAGACTTGGGAAAACCATTATGTTTTCTCAAGCACCTAAGCAGGCCATTTCTGGCTAACTGTCCTGAACTCAGATACCACTGTTTTCTTACCTCTCACTCCACTGGACTTTCTGAGGTAGGTCCGTGGAGTCTCCTAACACTGACGGGGTGGACTTTTGTAGAGCTGAACTTTGTGACAGAGTCTAAACTTCACCTTTTCCCTTATTAACCCTTTCCCGAGTGATGTGTTGGAAGCACAGAGCCTGTGTGTCCAGAGAAAGGAAAACTAGCTCATACCTCAGTAAACTTCTCCTTCCTGAAAAACTAGTTTTCCTCTCCATTTTCTACGTTTGCTCCAGAACAATAATTCTGTTCTGGGGCTCTCTTATAGACAGATTCTCACCGCCACTGCACCAACATAAATGCAGAGTTAACACCACTTCAGTCAACAAATTGGATAAGGAATAGTACATGTACTCACAGACAGACACTTGAATCAAGGAAAATCACATTCACTAACAGCAACACAGATATGTGTTGTCACATGGAAGAAAAGAAGGATTCTGTTAACCTCCTCTGTAAGTCATTTCTTCACCTAAGGATCTCCCATAGGTACATTTACTGGAGTTAAACCAGAAAAAAAACTTCTTCCTACCAGTAAACCCATATCAAGAGCCTTATGTAGTGAAGAAAAATATATGTATGCGTATTTCTTTCACAATATTACTTCCCAGTGTAAGGATAGCTATGAGAACACCCAGTGTTATGTAACTATGTAACTTGAAAACATAACAAAACTGCCTACAATCCTCATTGTTATGTTTTCTAACTGTTTTTTTCTCTCCCCCCCCCCCCCCCCTTTTCTCTTGTCTTTCCCAGAACTAGCTTCCTTTCTGGGTCTGGTGTACATTTTTGCCCGCTACAAGTACTTCCACGGTTATGTAGCGTCTGCAAAAGGAAGGTAAGGAATCACCATCTGCATGCAGGTTAAAAACTCCAGGCTGTGGTCTGAAGCCGGGCTTAGAGCCAAGGACTGGCAGTGAAAAGTGACTATAATTGAATGCAACATGTGTAAAGTGTCAGCAAGAGGTCTGAAATGAAAACCCTCAGGGAAGCAGGCTGGCTGGTACAGTAGAAGCCTCGATTACGATTTGCATGTGCTACAGGTCACGAGAGACAAAAGGTTTGATGCTCTCCATGTAACACCTCGTGGGTGCCTGCTTTGTACTGAACAGCATATCAGCAACTAGACTCAAAGGGGACTGAATGCAGAAGCACAGTTTTGCAGCTCAGGATTACTGTATGACGGGAGACTGCTGAGACACAGCATACACAGTACTTGCTTCTCTGCTATTCTCATTTTTCCTCGCTTTGTCAAATTAACACACGTATGCTAACCATACAAAACACATGAAAGGAAGCAAGCAGATCTGGCCTTGTAGGCAAATGAACTTTCACCAAACAGATAACAAAATACAGCTTCAGATAAGCTTAAGTTAATGAATGTTAAGCGCACAGCATCTGGGAACATGAACTCTGCTTCAAAAAACATGAACATCAGCAAAACACCCCTCCAATGCATGAGTGTACACTCAAACACATAATTTATTTCTTGCTTCACTGAAGCCACTTTATTATCTTACACACCCTAACCTACGGCTTCTCTTCCAACACACATATCAGTCATAAAAAGAAAGTAGCATGATATATGCCAGTCGTAAAAATAAAAGGCTTGGGAATCCATATTTCTGGAGAAATATATGAAACAATCAGACTAGAAACAGCACTTTTTTTTTCTTTTGTAGTGAATAATCCTGCAGCAGCAAAAGGCTGGAATACAAAGCTATTCTCCACAGCCTTTATACTGAGGTTATCACTCCCCTGCTTCACTAGAGTCTCCACCAATCCTTCACCCTGTTTTGAAGAGCTGTTGCTTAAGAGAAGGGCAAGGCCAAGTTTTCGAGAGCAGATATATGGGGATAATTTTATAACTCCCAGTCAGAGATGCAATAGTCCAAACGATGCCATGAATGACAACCAGAAAAATCAATAACTATTAAGTCTAGGTAGCAAGACCTTCTAAAACAAACAAGTAAATAAAACATAATGGACTTTTCTTTAATCAGTAAACTAAAAAGTTGTTTGTTTAAAAAAATCTTTCTCATGTTTTACTTTATGCTATATTTTCCTAGACTAATAGCTTCAGCCTCTCAAGGAAGCCTAAGAACAGTGGCTGGCTTCATTATTAGACAAGAGTTTCACTAAAGTGTAAAGCACTAATTTCTTGGCATGGTTGCTGAGAGTCAGCCTTGCACCCCTAGAAAACGGATCTGCTCACAAGGCCTGTTTGTGTGTGCCTTGCTCACACTATCCCTCAGCAGGCTTTTCAGCTGACGACAGATCAGTACAAGTCGGACGTGCAGAATTAAGCCCCAAAACACATAACATACCTCAAGCAGGCCTTGCAGCAAGAAGCTGCATTAATTCTCAAGTCTAATCACTGACTACAGCAGTGGCAGTTATATAGAGAAATTTGCTCACCTGGTCCACGTGTCTGGAGAGCTGGTAAATATACACACCACCACACTTGAATACATGAATTCCACTTCAGACTTGCCAAGGCTGGATTTCTTAAGAAAGCAACAGGTACATGCACCTTCTACTTGGTTTCTGTTCCAGATGGGCTTTTTCAAGTGAGCTATATGCTTCATCCTTCTAACACACTCTGATCAGTGTTCAAAAGGCTAAATTAAGGCTTTGCATGCTTCTTGAAAGTGAGGAAGTTCACCATTTTCAAATCTGCATTTAGATGTGATGTATACAGAAGGGCTGTATCAAGTTTTAGGCACCAGTGAGATTCTCGGACTCCCCACCCACATAGTTGTGCCTGAGCACATAGTCACTTGAGCTTCTGTGGGCAGGGGCATAGGTATAAACCAAAGGCTGACAAGGTCCTCAGGCTTCCCTCCAATGCTAAGCCGATGGGATTCTTGAAACAGGCCTTTCTGTGCCTGCAGAAGCCAATCTGGCAATAACTTCCAGAATATGTCTACTAGATCCATCTGCACCCAAGACAACTAAGAATGACCCTAGAAGGGCATGCAACTGGCACAGAGGAAAGCTCCTGCTCCCATATGCCAGCCAAGAGAATTCTCTGTTTTAGAGCTGAAGTCCTCTCCCTGTCTCTCTTATGGGAGCTTTCCATTTGGTATAAATGAAGTAATCTGACCCTCTCCCATCCCCAGCAAGTACCCTAACCACCGACTTTTAGGATCACATTCTTCCTTTCTACTCCAAAAATCCACGTCCAAGTCAGCGCGATCATCAAAAACAGACTTCCCAGCACTGTGGGGAATACCTGGCGAACAAGTGCTGATAGAAGACATACATGCCTCTCACCCAGTCCCAGAGGCTCCTCTCCTGCACTCCTAAATCTGGAGTTGCAGTGAGGTGCCCAAGTCTGTTTGCAGCTTCAGTTACAGCTCATGCCATGGGATGAGCTAGCTCATTATGGAATAAGTGCCCAGCTTCCATATGAATATTTAGAGACACTGAGGGAGAGATTTCCCCTAAAGAGGATATTGAGAATCTCTCTACTCTCCAGCAAAACTCACCCTCAGTAACTGTTTGTGACCAAAACAACCCAAGTTCTTTTTGCAAGAGTAAACCTTTTTGATTGTACATAGCTCTTAACTGGTGCAGACAAGCAGTTTCATAGTAAATACACTACATATAGCCTTTAACAGTATTTTTCTCTTTTCTTCTTCTAGGTTATCAGGTTTTTATTTGAATTTGATAGTTTTAACCTGCTTGATAGCCCTGGGTGCAGCTGGGATTGTTAACAGCCTTCTGGATGAATACCTGGACATTGGGAAGAAATTACGTAAATTGTTTTGAAGATTGCTTTTTTCCTTTTAATAAATAAATAATGCAGATGATTTCCCTGCACATCAAAGAGGTAAGCTGTGTGTGACTAAGGCTTCAGAATTCTTCCTAAATGCCCACTGCAATATAAAATGCATGCTTTTCCTGAGTTTCGTCTGCACTTTCTCCTTTCTCATTGCTCTTGAGAAGGAGTCTGTCAGACAGAATGCCATATCATGTCTGCATTTTCAATTAAATGTTCTAGTTTCACACACAGTACTGTAAACCCTAAACAAATTACATAAAATTAATATCATTAATTCACCAAGTAACTTAACTGCAACTCACACTGTAAGCAACAGCGCATCTTACCCAACGTCCTTCAGCTTTGCCAATGCCTCTGTAGTCTTCCTTCACTCCTCTTCATTTTCTTGAGCAGTGTCCTCTGTTCTACACAAACGTCAAAATACGCTGTGTTGCACTATGCTGTTGGAAGGTCCCAATTTTGCAAGTATATCCTATCCCACTTTAGGGGGGTGTTTAAGCATATACCGAAACACTGCTTTCTTCAGGAAAACATTTAAAGCTGTACTTGACCTTACACTTCTGTGAAGGCCTTTTGATTTTATACACATGCTTACAGTGCAACACATGCTCAAACACTTTTCTCGTAGGAGTGGGGCCCTCCTGCAGGCAGATCTCAGTTCTCACACAAAGCCTCTCCAAGACAGGCTATATCCACAATGCGGCACTTGCGAGACGGAGACCCGGTGCAGACAAAGAGAAGGCACAGATGCTCGTCAAACAATTGGGTCTACTTCATTGTCTCCCAAAAAAGGCACAGATGGCTGGGGTGTGGGAGAGACTAGACTAACACCCCAGCATGGCCAAAGCCCTGGGAATCATCAAATTACAACAAAAAGCAAACTGACTATGAAAAGAGTTTTCTGCTAAAAGGAGGGAAAATTCATGGCTTAGCACCATGAGCTCAAAGTGTGCCAAGGCTGATTTTAAACCATCTAGACGAAAAGAGAAGTAAGGCCATGCCTGACTATTTTGGCAGCTCCTCTGATAATTCAGGCCATTTAGGCAACATTGAATACATCAATGCAAGCTAGAGCCAGCAGCCTGAAGTTTTGCCTGCCATGTCTCTGAAGATAGGAGTTGGCCAAAGATGTTGCATGTGTTTATAGTGCTGTTCATTCAGGTCTATATAATTAACACAAGGTTTGCTCAGAAGTCTACTGGGGTTGATAAGCTGAGCACAATATAGAGTGCTGAATAAGGTCCATAATAACCTTTTATAAGTGAGTGTATTACATGTGCAAAATTCAGTGCTTTAGAGTCACTGTAATATGATTAAAGGGCATAATTTAGAACTTGCAGGTGGCAAAGGCTGAAATGGCATTTTAAACAATAAAACAAAACAAGTGCATAGGTGCAAGACTTGGGGTCAGTAATGGCTGCTGAGGGGGAAAGGACAGATCAGATAGCTAACAGGCTGGAGCTGACACAGCTGTGGAAAGGGCAATTCGCCGGCAGTATGGCTCCAGGGAAAAAGCAAAACGGGGCCAGATTTAACATCCACCAAAATCACTGGGAATCCTTCCACTAACTTTTCTGCTATGGGCTAAAGGACAGAAAATCCACCTACCCACCTGCCAGTGACACCCTGAGACGGTCACAGGCAGCAGGAGGTGCTGGCACCAGAAGAAAACATAAGACAATGGTCCAAATTACGTTACAGGCTTGAACTACTTGTTAGAGGGGACCTAAAGACAGCTAGTCGTGTTCAAACGTGTCTTTGCTTCTGAAATTACTCCATTCCAAGCTTACCTGTTGTATTGCCCTGGCATATCTATAGGAACCCCAAAGGACCGCCACCTACTCCACCAAAAGGAATAAACTGCTGTCACACAGGACCAATTTCATATGCCAAAGAAGTGGGGGTGTGAGGCAGTAATGTATCATCTAGTAGTACTAAGCCGCAACGGTAAGGGATAAACACAAGACTACACTTTCAGGATCTGTACCAGCTCATGACAGGGCAGAAGGGAGCCTAAAGTTGAGAATGCCACTTGTCTTCTGAACGTGTCACTGCTTTTTTCCCCAGTGAGCCAGGACAGAACGTCCAAGATCCAAAACTCTGTTAAAGACTGACTCATCTATAATTAAAATCAAAATACACCTACATGGATACATGCAATCAGTGTCAGTAAGAATATTTAGTTTAATTCTAGTGAGACCCCCCACCTTTTCCTGCCTGCTCCCTGCTGATCAAGAAGTTAGTTTAAGGCTGCACATTCAACATACATCACAAGTTTGATGCAAATATTCATCTGCCAGTCATGATCAGAACTGAAAATGGCCCCTGCCACATTTTCAAAGCCAATCTATACCTAGGAACCTCATGCGGAAAGCACCTTTCCCCAGCAAGCTTTCCTGCCAGCACACACCGAGGAATAACTCTGGCAAGTCATGTTGATCTGGGCGACTCTACTTCTTTGTGCCCTGTATCTACATCTAAAATGGTAAAAGACTTACATTAAGGAGAGGAGGGGACCTCACCTTAAAGGTTGTACTTGGAGCTGAGCCACACTGACTTCCTAAGCAGCTGGTCTTCCAGCTCTGTTCTGTGCAAACAGAGGTCCAATGTCCAATCCTCGTGACTCCCAGTAGGCTGCAAACATGGAGATACTGGTGTTGAGCCATGAAGGCTACACAGCACGTTTATATCTAAACCAGGTCACATAAATACAAGTCCATACGCGCTTGCCACAGGTTTCTGCCAGCAAAATTCCCCCACCGTATTACTAGCAGCTGATAGCAGCAGGCTGGGGACCCACTCTAAACATGCACCTTCACCTCTTCCCCATTCTCCCCAACAACTCAATTCTTTCCAACTTGCATGTCTAACTCCACATCTTCTTCCACTACACCTCATTTCTCCAGATCACAGCCACAAGACTCCTGTCCTGGGTTCTTCTTCTCATGTCTTCCTCTGAAAGCACTTCCTTGCTCTCTGCACAGCACATGCTGCAGCAAATGCAAAAACTGGGAGCCACTGCCTCTGATGAGAACAAATTATTATGGACCAGCTCCCCCACGGCAACTGCATGAGTGCAGACTTTACCTCAGAGTGCATGCAGTTTCGACAGCTTACCCTGCTCATAGAAAGGGGTAAAATGACCTCAAATAACAGCATACACCTAAGTAAGTACTTACCACACCGTAGCTAATCACAGTACGCTGTAACTCTACTGCCTGCTTATGGTAACTATGCAGGTGTGCCTAAGTGGTGGTGGTGGCTAACGGGAGCTCAAAAAACTTAACCAGGTGCTGAACAGAGGCAGGGGCAAGCAGGCAGTGCCTCCCTCGGCGAGAGAGGGGAGTGTTTGTACCGGCTGCACCCCGCCTCTAGCTACCTGGCTTCC